CTTTTTAGTTAGTATTTGTGTGTGTGTGTGTGTGTGTGCGTGTGTGTGTGTGTACCACTTGTGTGGGGGTGCCCACAGAGGCCAGAAGAGAGCATTGGATTCCCTGGAACTGGAGTTACAGATGGTGGTAAGCCATAAGACCTGGTTGAGGAGAAATAAACTGGGGTCCTCTGGAAGAGTGGTGGATGGTCTTAATCACTGAGCCATCTGTCTAGCCCCATAAACCTTGGCTCAGGGACCACTGTGGAAGAGGGGGCAGATAGAGTCCAAGAGCCAGTGTTGGTGCATGAACATAAGGAAACAGAGGCTTTCAGACCTTTAGGAATGTGCTTGTATGAACTTGCAACAATGGTGGCAGCATGCACAAGACCCATACCTATTCAATCAGACAAAAACCCAGCACAGAATGAAGGAAATGGGCAGCAGGCCCCAACCCTGGCCAAGGAACTATTGACAATTGATTACTGCATTGTGAGGTAGACCAAATCCTCTTTAACGGAGTGACTCTAGACAGGCTGACTAAACACCATTGGAGAAACTTCCACCAAGGGGCATCTGGGAACAAATGCTTAACTGAGTAGGAATTAATATATATGACAGAATGCAAGAAATCAAAGGCAAGAGGAGTATGAGGGACTGTGGATGGAGGAGGGGGACTAAATTTGATTATTATATGAAATGCACAAAAACTCAATAAAAATTTTTTTTAATTAGGACCTTGCTTTCTGGCATTTTGTTATAGCAACAGAAAACAAACTAAAACACCAGGAGGCTTTATTTTGCCTGCATGGATGAACCACTTCACCTCTTACCATTCCCCTTGGCTTCAATCAAGCCAGTTCTGCCAATGACACCAAACTCAACCGCTGTTTTCTCCATGGCCCCAAGGCCTCATCCTGTGCCTACTCCTTCCTCACCTCACAATTTCTCAGGAATGGCTTCCTTTCCCCACTAATCATCACCATCGTTGAGGCTTTGTTCAAGCCCTGCCTCCACATAGACCCTATGGACCCTCAAACAATATTAAAGTTCCCATTTCTTTGCTTGTGTTCAATATTACCCCAGTGAACAAGTAACTTATTTTTGTGACTTTATTCTGCATCTCAAACCAGGATGCCAGCTCCTGAAAGGCAGGGGATGCAGCTCCACACCCTGCCCCTGCCCCCATTGGTGCTATGCAGTGGAGCATCATTTTGATAATTATTGTATTGTTTTGTTTGAGACAGGGTCTTGCTATGAAGCCCTGGCTCATCTCAGATCCACAGAAATCCACCTGCCTCTGCCTCCCTGGATCTGGCATTAAAAGTGTGTGCCACTATACCCAGTCTTTCTCTTTTTGGGGGAGGAGGACAAGTGTTCATTATTCAAAATATATACAGAGAAGGGCAACCAGATCATCACCTCAGAGTGGATATTGGCAGTAATTTCCTGTTTATCCCATGTTGCTTAGCTCCTCAGAGTCTTAATATGAAGATCATTGTCTTGTGTTCTAACAGGATGCTGCCACCCCTCACTGTGGACTATGGGCAGGTGATGGGTGCTGGTGTAGGGACGTCATTTCTTCAGTGATGTAGCCAGTACTGCTTCAGTAAATAGACCCTCAATCGTGTTCATGCAAGCAACCCAAACTAAACCCCGTGGGTCAAACAAAGGAGCCATCAAAGTAGGATGTTGACAGGATAAAGGGTTTTGGCAGAGGAAAGGGGTGATGAGAAGGGGAAACGTGGGTGCAAGTCACCAAAATTAATATATACATGCATTGAAGTGTCAAAGAATAAAAATATATAATTCATATTTTGTGTGGGAGTGAAAACTAGTGAAGCCACTATTGAAATCCCCATGGAACCCTCTAAAATAGCTAACACTAGGTCTACCACGTGATCCAGCTGTATCATTCTGCGCATAGACCCAAGGGACTCTATATCCTACTACAGAGATACCTGCTCATCTATGTTCATTGCTGGTCTAGTCATAATAACCATGAAAAGGAAATGGCCTCGATGTCCCTCAACTGATGAGTGAACAATGAAAACATGGTACGTCTGCACAATGAAATATTATTGAGCTGTTTAAGAAAACAAAATTTTGAAGTCCATAGGTAAATGAATGGACCTGGACACAGTCACTCTGAATGAGATAGCCTAGACCCTGAAAGACAAACATCACCTTTTCCTCTCACTTGTGGATGTTAGCTTCGAATCTTTAGATATGTGTTTTATTAAATATCATTATTTTCATTTAATATTTAATTTGAATACCCATAGAGGAAGGAAATTAATAAGGAGCTGTGGGTGGGAGGGGGCTTGCAAAGACTGGAAGATAGAATGAAGTGATATAAGGGATAAAGGAGAGGGTTTCATTGGGTGGGTCATGGGAGGGCAAAGTAGAGGAGGGATTAGAGGGAGGGATAACTCATTCTAAAGACCTTTTTAAAAAGTTATATGGAAACTGGCTACTGTAGAAACTAAAATATATACATACACATATATAAAAAGAATCCAAATGGAGTCAATCTAGAACACATGGGACAACAATCCCCCATGAGACACCACAGGTTAGCAAGTTAAAAATCCATACCAGAAACAGGTTATCTCTTTGGAATCGTCGGCCAGTGAGGCCCCATAGACCCACAAAGATTACAGGTTGTTGCCTTTGGTCTTAGCCTCCAAAAGGTAAGATGGTAAGATTCTATTGTTAAAGACCACATAGTTGAGCCATAGACCATGGAGGAATCAAGCTGGTGCTGGTCTTTGAAGCTTCATCCCTACCGGCTCCATAGTGCTAGAAAGTGCTGTGCACACCATCAGAGGAGAAAAGTAATCACTAGTCTTATCCAGATGTGAACCCTGTGAGCTGCAATAACAACCAGCCTAGAAAGACATGCCCACCGGGGCAATAGTGGCATGAACCAAGTACTTTCTTACTGGATTTAAGGTCCACTTCACAAGATGAAACCCATGTCTGGCACTGTTATCTAGGCCAAGAACTTATGGATAGATAAGTTGTAGACCCTAGGGAAGAACTTACTCCTGTTACTTTGCTAAATGGGTGTAGTATTAAACCAAGTCCTAATGATTTCTCTACTCATAGATTAGTTCATCTCTCAGACCTCATCAGAGAAGCATCTGAGAACAATAGATGGCAGTTATCACAGGGATCCACAGTTGGTCAAAGTTCAGAGAATAAGACTTCAAAATGCTCATCTCTAAATGGGACACCTCTGCCACACCCTCTCCTTCCAGGGCTCAGGGATCACTGTGGAAGAGGGAGCAGAAGATTGTAAGAGCCAGAGGTGGTGGGGGACCACAAGGAAACTGTTTCCTGGACATAACAGGGCAGGTGTGCCTATAAACTCATAGCATCTGTGACAGTATGCCCAATATTGGTGCAAGCTCAAGCCAGGCAAAATCCCATCATGAAAACAGGTGGTGGGCACGATGTCCCAGCCATACCTGAGGAATTGCCAACTGACAGATGCTGGGATAGGAAGAAGCAGTTTTCTTTAAGAATGTGTCCTCTGGGGTGTGGTCGTGCACACCTTTAATCCCAGCATTCCGGAAGCAGAGGCCTACTTATCTCTGAGTTTGAGGCCATCCTGGTCTACATAACAAGTTCCAGGTCAGCTGGGGCTCCAGGGAGATGTTGTCTCAAAAAAAGTGTGCCTGGGCTGGAGAGATGGCTCAGTGATTAAGAGCACTGGCTCTCTTGCAGAGGACCCCAGTTCTGTTCCCAGCACCCACATGTCAGCTAACAACAACCTGTAACTCCAGTCCCAGGGGATCCAATGCCCTCTTCTGATCTCCGTGGGCATTGCATGACTTGGGTGCACTTACATACCTGCAGGCAACACATTCATACACATAAAATAAAAATAAATAAATAAAATATTTTTAATTTAAACATTTTTGAAAGTGTATCTAGTGGGTTGACCACACTCCAGTGAACGTACACACTCACACAAGAGTGTAAGGTCAGCACAAATTGGGCTCGATGAGTTTTTCAAAGTTGGGAGGATAACCTGGAAGGGGGCTGGATCTGGAAAGAGTTCAGGGAGGGAGAGCAAATACAATCAAAACACATTGTATGAAATTATCATAAAACTAATAAAAGAACGGAAAAATAACTTCTCTAAAATAAAATAAACAGGATACCCACTTAATCTCACATGTGGGAAGCACATGTTTTGTGTCTAAAACTTTTGTGGCCAGGTATGAGGGCAAATACCTGTCACTCCAGCATTCAGGAGGTTGAGACAGAAGGACCATGACCTAGAGGCCAGCTTGGGAACTATAGGGCAGGACCCTGTCTCAAAAATAAATAAAAATAAATAAGTAGGTCATTGATGCCCGTGGAGGCTCTATTAAAAACCAAGATCCAAGAGTTTGGTGTGCACAGCAGTGGGGAAGGACAGATGAGCAGAAGAGACAGACACGGCTTTAGCTCTCTCCTGGGAAGGTCACCAGTGCTGACCAATCATTGCTAATCAAAAGTAACTGAACATGAAATCTTGTGTGTGAAGTAGCAATACAGAGACTGGTAAGTACTGCCCCAGTGCTGCCTTCTGGAATTCTGTGTGTTTACTGTTGATAAGCACTCTCTGCACACCTCCTCTCCTCCTCTTTGTCCTGACACACCTCAGCTAATCTTGGCTTTCTATTGTTGGCAGAAGTAAGAGCTGTTTGCTGATGACTCTGCTGTTTTTTTCTCTTCAGGAATGGGCAAGCACCCAAGGACATGCAGAGTCCCATGGCTCACAACCCAACACCTATTTATCTACCTTCTCTGCTCTGAGGACAGCACCCCACACATTCTAGCTAAGCAAGGACAGCTTTGTCAATCTGACCACCACTCACCACGTGTCAGCATCCCACCTTTCACTCACCAACCTTCCCACCTGAACCTGGAGCCGCGAAGAAGTCCTTACTCCTTCTGCTGAGGGATCTCCAAGTACCAAGGCAGAGCCCAGCCCACCCCGAGGCCCCCGTCCACCCATGCCTTACCCGCATGAAGGAGCTGAGAAGGCCTCGTCTGTCCATCTGCAGGAGGTTCCCCAAGATGGGCAGAGGACGGGGTCCTGGTGGGAGGTGGCCACGGGCCTTTGGCTGACCCCTGACCATGAGTAACAGGAAGCCTGCAAGGAGAGCGAGGAGGAGGAGGACGCTGAGCTCCATGGTCCCCGTTTGACCACCGTCCACTCCTCTGTAGAATTCAGCTGGACCTTTTATCCTGGCCTGTCTCTCCACCCAGTTATGCAACTTCATCTGTTCCCTGCCTCCCAGTCCAGAAGTGTCCAGAAGTGTGACACATGTACTTCCTTGTGCTGCCTGGCAACCCGCTCACTCCCTTCTTCTTTGCCCCACCCTTGATGTTGGCAAAGACTCTGTGAACTGAACACAAAGGTACAAAGGGGTGGAGGTGGTAATGCATCTTGATTTCTATGGATGAGTGTGCACTCATGTGCTGAGTTTTTGTCTATTCATGCCGGCATGCAACTGTGCACGTGCTGCAGACTTTTCTATGTGAGTGTGCAGGCGTGTGTTTCTGTGTATGAGTCTAGATGGTTTGCTTATATTTTGGTGCCTGCATAGAGCTGTGTTTGCATACATATTCTTCAAAGTGTGGAAGTGTCTATGTACTGTCTTGGTTTCCTATGTGAAGGTACGAGTACATGAGTATGTCAAAGAGTTGTAATGTGTGCTCCTATATGTGTTTGCGTGTGCTGCTTGTGTTGGGACTTGTATGTTTGTGCATGTCCTAGCCCTTGTTTTCAGACTAATTTGCCAATATGATTTCTCCCATTTCATTCTCTGGTCTGTGGCAGCCACAGATGGGAGGAAAGAGGGTGTATTAGTCAGGGTGCTCCAAAGAAACAGAACCGGTAGAATGAATACATATGTATAGAGATTTATCAGCTTAGCTCACAGGATAGAGTCCGAGTAGTCCAACAATGGCTGCACCACACTGGAGAGGCAAAGAATCCATATACGCTCAGTCCATGAGGCTGGATGTCTCAGTAGTCCCAATCTGGTGCTGAAGTTCTGATGGATTCCAAAAGATCAGCTAGTCTTCAGTCTACAGCAGCAAGAAGAACTCACCATCGAGAGAGAAGGCAAGCAGCAAGAAGCCGGGCATTCTCCTCTGCCATGGTCTTTTATACTGGCTGCCATCAGAAAGTAACACCCACATTTAGGGTGTGTCTTCCACCTTCAGATGATCCAGTTAAGAAGATCTCTCTCATTTCAGTTAATCCCAGATCCAGTCAAGTTGACACCCAGGATTAGCCATCACAGAGGGGCAAGAGAGTCGGGAGTGAGGTGTGGAAGGAGATGAGAGTCGGGAGGAAAGGGAGGTCGAGACCTGGCCGGAGGAGCTCGAGGTCACTGAAGCCAGTGATGGGTCATTTCCTTCCTCCTTCTGGCTGTCTTTGTGGGATATGAAATTCTCTGACTGCCTCTTGCAATCTCTATGACAGTGTTTTCCACTTTAGAGTGTGCTTCAGGAATACAAGGACTATTTTGGGCTCTTTTCTGCTGTATCAAAATAACAGAGACTGGGTAATTGTAATGAGAGGAAATTTGGTGACTTGTATGTTATGGAAGCTGTGATTTCTAAGAACATAGCACTGGCATCTGGTGCAGACCATGGTGTACAATATAACATCACAAAAGGACAAGCATGCATGCCTAAAACTTGAGGAAAGAACAAAAATGAGGCAAACTCTCAATAACCAACCTTGTTGATGCCTCTGACATCTTTCTTTCTCTTCAGGAACAGGCAAACATCCACGGATATGGAGAATGAGAATCTACACCCATGGTTCACAACCCAACACGCCCTCCAAGGACCATGCCCCACGCATGTCAACTAAGCAAGGACAGCTCTGTCCATCAGACCACCCATTCGCCAGGCACCAGCATCCCACCTTTCACGTGCCAACCTTCCCATGTGAACCTGGAGGAACTCTACAATTATGGCATGGATCCATGCACAGGGTGTGATGGTTTGAATGTGAAATGTCTCCCGTGGGTTCATATGTTTAAACACTTGGTCCCTAGTGGATAGTAAGTAAATCTGGGACATTTAAGAGGTAAACCTTGCCAAGAAGAAGTAAGTGCAAGAGGCAAGCTTATAGGTTATAGCCTGACAGTCTCTCCTCTTTTCTTTTCTTCTTCTTCTTCTTCTTCTTATTATTATTACTATTACTATTATTATCATCATTATCCTCTCTCTCCATCCCTCCCTCCTTTCCTCCTTATATCTACTGTTGCATAGGACCAGCCACAAGTTCCCTCATCAAGACCAGAGCCCAGCCGCCCATGACACAGCTCTAATAAAACCCTTCCTTTCTTGCTTCTTATCAGGCATTTAGCCAAAGTTACAAGAGACTCAGTTAATGCAGAAAAGGAGCATCAGGAGTGGAGTCGCTGCTGTGATAAGCCTGACTATATGCTTCAAGGGCTGGAACATTTGGCAGGTGGGAACTGGCCTTGACATGGGAGCTTGTGGCTGTTCACATCAGAGTAGCACTCAGAAAGCTGGAGCAGGGCCAACTATGACCCATAAGCCCGTTCTAGTAGCCTACTTCCACCATCCAGGCCTCACCTCTCAAAGGTTCCAAAATTTCCCAAAACAATGCCACCAGCCAAGGGTTAAACACATAAGCCTGTGGGCAAATCTCACAGTCAAATCACAACATAAGTGCAGAACCCCTGTAGTCTAGTCATATCTTAAACTTCTCACCTCTTAATGACATTTTAATGGTATTTAAATTTCAACATGAGTTTTGGAGGGACCTTCAAACTATGGCCTTCTGCCCTGCTCACTTCCCACACCAAAAAATTCACGTCCTGCTCACAGATAAAATACAGTCCTTCCACCCCAACAGCCCCACCGTTTTAATTCACTAAAAGTCTTTCCTATAAACCATAATGTACTTGTGAGTTTTGTCACCATTCATTTGGAAAATTATAAACTGGCAGAAAGTTGTACAGGAAATAAATATCGATCATAATAAAGTCATACAGATTTTATTTTTGTTGATATTCTTTTCTCTATCAAAAGTTATTTCTTATCTTGACATCTAACCAAAGAGGTGATATCTGGAAGGATGTGGTGAGGCAGTCGAAGACAGAAGGACAGCCAGCCCTGTAGACAAGGCTGAAGACTACACAGCTGCTTCAGATTGCCCAATGCGGGGGGCCTGAGGCCAGGGGCGAGGCAGGATGGCGCCTAGCGGAAACAGTCGGGGCGTAATCAGACTTGTCTGGCGCCTAGAGGAAACGGCCGGAACATGGAACACGGCCAAACTTGTTTTAATGAATCGCTGATTGGCTCCTGTCATTTCCGTGCATCCTGGCAGCACGTGATCACCCCGTGAACACTATGAAGAGGAGACTGCATGCTCAAGTTCACCTTTAAAATGATTGGACACTTGGCTGGGGAGGGGATTTTCCTTTGTGGTTTTTGCCTTTATAAGCTCTGTAAACACCTGCAATAAACGAGTTCCTGCTTGACTGGCTCCATCACCTCTAATTGTCTTCCTGGGAGGCTGTGGGTAACCGGCGGACAGCGCACTTCCCTTTCCCTGGCTCCTGTGTCAGGGCAGGATCCCCGCAGCCCAGAGATTAAAGGGCAAAATTAGTTGGAGACGTGGCTCTGTTGGTAGAGTCCTTGCCCAGCATCCTGGGTATCATCCTCAGCCCTGCATACCCTACATACACAGTGAGTGTGATGAACCGTGCCTATCATCCCTGCACTCTGGAGGTGAAGCCGGAGTTTAAGATCTTCCCTGACTACTTAGCTATCAACTTCTAGTTAGAGTAACCTTCTCAAAACCTTGTTGACAAAGAAATGCCAATCACTAGGACTGATGAGATGACTGGGTGGATAAAAGCGCTTGTCATCAAGCTTGAGGACTTGATTTCCGTCTCCGGTCCTACATCGTAGAAGAAGAGAATGGGCTCCCCAAGATGTCCGCTGACCTCCAAATATGTGCTGGGACACATGGACACACACACACACACACACACACATAAAGAAATGGAATCTTTTTTAAGATTAGAAAAAGAAATATTAATTTTCAGAGATCCAAAACCATGAACAACGTCTACTCCTCAGATCAACCAGCATCAACCTACAGAAGCTTAAATGAAGCAGATGGGAAAGCAGGATGGCACAGAAACAGTCTCATCAGATGCTTCATTAGCAAACTTGTCACCATTAGACTACAGTTAGATTTTCCAGTGTACAGTATGCGGAAAGAGATGAGATCAATGATAGATGCTTTGTGTGGCCAGCGATCACCCAATTCAGATGGTCCTCATGACATATTAGCAAGTGTATTCACAGTCTAGCATTGTACCATAATTCCTTTTTAAAATATTTTATTTTTTCATTTTATGTATACGAATGCATTGCTTACATGTAGGTAGGTGCACTTGGGAGACCTGAGTGACTCCATCTTGGATAAAATCTCCATAGAACTGACCCAGCCCTGGGCCCTGTTCCAAGAAAAACCACACTACTTGGAACGGATAGAGAACAACACCCACCCCCCCACCCCCGCCAACGGTCAATTAACCAGGGACAGGAAGGTACTAAAAGTCCAGATATCTTTTCAGATTTCCTGAAGCCAGCAGTTCATGGTTTGGCACTGGGCTGTAACCAATCAGATGCTTGCCAGGCTGGAGACCCCCTACTCCCCTACTTGCTGAACTTGCTGAAATAAACCTATAAAAACCTCTGTCTCCCAAAGCAAGGGGTCTCACATCTGAGATCTGCTGAGTCGGTGACAGAGTGGACCTAAGCTTAAGCCTGGAACAATAAAAGAACCCTTGTGTATTTGTATCGGTTGGATCCTTGGTAGTCTTTGGGGGACTCGTGAACTGGGCACAACATCTTGGGGGCTCCTCCGGGATCCCCAAGACCCCCAGGACCCCCTAACCAGAGGGTTCTTGGCCAGCCAGTAAGTGTCTGTTTCTAGTTGTGCCTGTCTGTGTCTGTCCCAGCTTTTGTTTTGAGCCTCGAGGCAAACTTGTGAACAGTGTGTTCAGGAGCGGTTGGAGCGGATGCGTTAGATGACCATGACCACAGAGGTCTGGAAGACATTCCAGACCTTGGCAGAGGGGACGAAGGGCCCTGGACTCTGTTGATTTCTGTGAACGGACAAGGCGGGTTGGTCCCGCGGCTCAGCACTTCGCCGCTGTCCTAC